GTCGCCCCGTCGCGCATCGTGCTGTTCGTAACGCGTATGCCAAATATCACGTCTGTAGGTTTACATCCGGCAACGCTAAAGCAAAGCAAGTGCCGCCCGGCGACGTGCGCGCGCCACTTCAAGGCCACGCGAGAAGGTTTTGGAAGGTCTCTCACCCCTCCGCACCTCGTTCCTCTGGCGTTGAGAAAAAATTAGCGTGCGGGGGGATGATCTCGACACGCGCGACTCGTTCGCGCGACGCGCATTCCGCGCGCCGCCGCTTCCGCGTTCCGGGTTGAGCTTGTCGGCGTAGGTCACGCGCCAACGACGCCGACCATGACCGATCCCGACCCGTCGGAACTTCCGTTTCAAGAGAGGCGGGAAATTGTATCACAGGGGCGATGGGTTAGATCCGCGGACGCACCGCTCGAGGTGCCGCCGCTCGTCGCGGAGGTCCCGGAGGTCCAGGACGAGGAGGACGAGGAGGCCGAGGAGTTCGTCGAGCCCGCCGCCGAGGCGCCCGCGACGCCGCAGGAGGCCGAGTCGCGCGAGGACGGCCAGGGCGCCGAGGAGGAGGCGTTGATGGAGGAGATCGGCGTCGAGGAGTCCAAGGAGGAGCCGCCGGGCGTCTCGGCCGACGAGCCGCGCGAGCTCGCCGCCGAGGCGCCCGGGACGCCGCCGCGGAGCGTGCTGCTGCTGCCGCCGACGATGTTTACGCCGCGCGTCCAGGAGGCGTCGACGACGGCGACGGTGCCGACGGTCGTCGCGCAGAACCTCGTCTCGGCGTGGACGCCGCGGTCGCCGTCGGTCGTCGCGTCCGAGGCCGAGCGGACGATCTGCGCCGCCGTCGCCTCCGCGCCGCCGCACTACCGCCAGATGCACACGCGCGAGGTGCTCGCGAAGGTCCCCGGCCACCACCGGCCGCTCCGGGACTGGACGAACGTGCCGCGCGCGGACGCGGGCAAGCCCCGCGGCACGTCCGTCGTCACCGCGCTCGACTCGGGGTCGCTCACCAACACGGGCGCCTTCGAGGGCGACTCGCCGCGGTCCGAGACGCTCCGCCGCTTCGAGGAGGCCGAGGCCGCGGCCGAGGCCGCGGCCGCGGCGACCGCGGAGGCCGCCGCGGCCGAGGCCGCCGACGCGGCGGCGGCCGCCGCCGCCGCCGACGCGGCCAACGCCGCCGAGGCGACCGCGACCGCGGAGGCCGCCGCGGCCGACGCCGCGGCCGAGGCCGGCGTCGAGGCCGCCGAGCCCAAGTCGGCCGCCGAGGCCGCGCCCGAGGCCGCGCCCGAGCCGGCCGCCGCGCCGCTCCAGGTCGTCGAGGAGGTCGTCGCGCCGCCGCCGCCCGCGAACGTGGCCACGCGGGCGGAGTCGGACGTGGCGCCGGAAGCGCCGGACGCTACGGCGCCGCCGCCGCCGCCGCTGCCGCGGCACTCGGCGCCGCGCCGCGGCCTGCGCAGCAAGATTGGCCGGGCCAAAACCCGCGGCGACGCGGAGGACGGCCCGGACTTCGACGCGCTCATGAAGAAGTTCTTCTAGTCCTACCCGGCCACACCCGCGGACACCTGAGCCTACGCCTCCACATCACCAAAACCTACGCCGCCGCGGCCGAGGTACCAAGCATCTCATCCACTCGCCCCCTTCCCTCTCGTCGCCCAGGGCCAAGTCCGCGCGCCCCCCGTGCGCGCCATGTGTAGAGACTTGCGCCGCGAC